AAAATCCTTGCAGGAGTTGCAGTGCAATTCAGAAAGAAATCATCTTAGATGCAAGCTAAAGGAATTAAAAAAAAGTACTTATCATTATCTAGTATATAGTATCCTTGCCGTGCAATTCAGAAAGAAACCATCTTAGATGCATGCTAAAGCAATCAAACCAAGTACTTGTCATTATCTAGCATTTAGTATTGCACTCCATGAGCCCATGGCCTATCCTGATATAAGTTTCAAGAGAGGAAATAATTTACTTTGATATCTACAAGAATTAATACCATTTTTGATCCTATGAGCTTTATGTCAAGTCCACATTTAGTCTACGTCTTTCACTTTGTCCATTTTGTGTACTTGACTAATGTTTCTTGACAATTTGGGCCCTTTTTCGGCGATTTTAATCAACGGAAACATTGCCGGAAGGATCATATATGGACGAAAACACAATAGTCATGTACCAAAAGTGGTCAAAGTCAAAAACGTGAACCAATTGTGGAATTGGTGCGATACTCGTAACACCAAAAGTGAAATTTCTTCCATCTACAAATAAGTAATACATTGCGTCCGGTTAAGGTAAGAATGATTGTTTCTAGTGAGAAATGAAGATGATGCAATAAAAGTGCATTTTTTTGTTCAATGTGATTTGTTATTCAAACAGAAACCCCATTCTCTCATTCATAGCAATGCACATCTCTATGTGAAATAATGCACAATTATCAATTCTCAAATCTAACGACATGCATTCTCGTTGTTCTTATTCACATTCTCATCTTATCTTAATCCTATACACACACACACATAGCTGCTCTAAAAAGTGTATTGTTTCCCGAGGCATAACGTTTACTTTTTTAGTAAGATGCGACTACTAGAAATCATAAATTCTATGTTTCTGACTAAAATCCCGCATCAAACCATACCATATGATAGGAATCGGGCCTAATAGACTAATAATAATGTGTACTAGATTAGTATAAATAGAATAAGCTGGGAGAGGTCAAGTAGGCTGTTTTAGACTTTGTCTTGGGATTGGGAAGATTGAGATTACTCTCTCTTTTGGGGGCTTCGGCCATTGTTACGGTTCATCTCTAATAAAAACTGCAGTTGTTCTTGATAATTTTCTGTAAATCTTCTGAATACCTAGATAGTTCTATCATTGGTATCAGAAACCTAGATCGCTGTGGATGACTGTTACGCGTGCAAAAATGGAAGCCAGATTGAATGAATTGGAACGAAATCAGCAACAAGCATCCGCGACCATGGCAGCGGCATTAGCTGCGATCCAAGCAAGCATCGCGAACCTGGAAGGAAGAGTCCAGAGCAGACCGCGTAGCAGATCGCATGCGTCACATTCCTCTCATCGCACATCGCATCACCAGTATACACGACAATGAGCGAGTTCAGAGGGATCGGAAAAACATTTCCGACTACTCTCCTCCACATCGCCATAGCCATCATCACATATCGTCATCATCATCAAACAGGTAGGAAGATTGACTTACCTATTTTTACTGAAGAAGATGCTTTCGGATGGCTGGTTAGAATGGATCGTTACTTCGCTTGAATAATATCGAGGAAGAAGATAAAATTGACGTCGCTATTATTGCTATGGAGGATCAAGCGCTCAGTTGGTTCCGGTGGTGGGAGAACTAAGCGCAGAACTGGGAAATTTTCAAAGAAGCACTAACTAGACGCTTTCAACCAAATTTCGTACAGAATTCAATGGGACCTCTGCTTAGTTTGAAACAAAGAGGATCAGTGAAGGAATTCAGGGAACAATTTGAAGTAGCTATTGCTTCACAAGGACATCTAAGTGAAGAAGTATTGAAAGGAGTATTTCTGAATGGGCTTAAACGTGACATAAGGGCTGAATTGAAGCTACACACTACCAGAACTCTGGCTAAGGTCATGGATAAAGCACTGCTAATTGAAAATAAGAACAATGAAGCCATGATCAAGAAGAATAAAGATGAGGGCAAGAAGAGGTGGCAAGAAAAAGCAGGGAATGAAGATCATCATCAAAATTGGGGAGATAGCAGTAGATGAAGGAGTAGTCCTAATACTACTACAAGTTCTGGCAAGATCATCAATGCAACTAAGCCAAATGACAAGGTGGAAGAATCAGCCAATTCTGTTCAAAAGAAGATAAGTCCCAGATTGTCCCAAGATGAGTTGATGGAAAGAAGCAAAAGGGACTATGTTTTAAGTGTGGAGAAAATTGGAATCGAGGTCATATTTGCAAAATGAAGCACTACAAATTCGTTCTTATGGAGGATTCTAAAAGAGAAGAAGAATCTGAATCAATCAGGAAGGATACAAAGGAGGAAGAAGGATTTGAAATGGAATTCAAAACTATGCAATTGTACTCAAGGAGTAAGGAAGGGATTCCAAGCATGAAAACCTTCCAGATGAAAGGAGAATTGAAGTGGGATTCTGGAGAACAGAAGGTTGAAGTCCTTATTGATAATGGTGCAACTCATAACTTCATTTCTCAAGAGTTAGTGAGAAAATGGGAGTTACCATACCATACGACAAAAGAAAATTATGTACAGATAGGTAATGGAAAGCAAAACACAAACAAGGGCAGATGTGAAGGGTTGAAATTGAAACTACAGGGGCTGAAAATACAGCAACCTTTCTACATTCTAGAATGGGGGGAACAGATATGGTGTTGGGCATGGAATGGCTGACAAGCTTGGGTGATACGGAGATTAATTTCCAAAATCAGACCATCAAATCGGAGGTAATGGGCAGAAGGTAGTTATACAAGGAGATCATTCATTAAGTCAACTGGGAACTAATAAGGAGATGAAGAGCCTGGTAAATAAGAATGGAGAAGGAAAATTGTTAAACTATCATGGATTATCTACTGATATTGAACAAGAGTAGGGAGCATTGTGAGAACCAAATTTTTGGATTCTACTATTCAGGCTACTATACTTGATGTCTCCACAGAACCTGAAGGAATCAAATTCCTGGATATAATGTCCTGGCATCTGTGTAACTCTGCTGTGAAATACATTTGGAAGAAGATGGAAGTAGCAAAGCTAAAGGGCTAGCAATCAATAAGTATTGGAAAGGGAGAGGTGCTAGGATGAAGGGAAAGCAGAAGATTTTTGCTGTTTCCTATCACCCACCTTGAGGGCAAGGTGGATGTTTATGGGGGGAGTGTTGATAGGAATCGGGCCTAATAGACTAATAATAAGTGTACTAGATTAGTATAAATAGAATAAGCTGGGAGAGGCCAAGTAGGCTGTTTTAGACTTTGTCTTGGGATTGGGAAGATTGAGAGTACTCTCTCTCTCTTTTGGGGGCTTCGGCCATTTGGGGGCTTTGGCCATTGTTACGGTTCATCTCTAATAAAAACTGCAGTTGTTCTTGGAAGATTGAGATTACTCTCTCTCTCTTTCTTTTGGGGGCTTCGGCCATTTGGGGGCTTCGGCCAAGTAGGCTGTTTTAGACTTTGTCTTGGGATTGGGAAGATTGAGAGTACTCTCTCTCTCTCTCTCTTTCTTTAGATCATATTTTTATTCAATGGGTACTAGGAGTATATATGAAGCTCATCATGAAATACACAAGGCCTTGCTCTATGTTGTTAAAAAGATGGAGATACGGAGTATATGTTTTTATATTTGTATAACTTTCGTGTGGTATGTTCTCTCTTACAGCCTTATAGGTAGATTATAGGTAGAACCGTAGAAGCATTGTTGTTGATGGTAGGTGTCTGGCACACGTCTTGTGCATCTACATGCTCTTTCTGCGGCACCTCTAATTGTTCTTTTCATTTCACACTAACTACGTTTTTCTTCAAATATGGTGTTTTATCACTAATTTTTTGTAAATCTTCTGAATACCTAGATAGTTCTATCACCATACCATACCAAACAAATTTAAGTTACTAACTACGTTACAAAATTTATTTGTTCTTTTAACTAACATTAACATAGCTTAATTGTTTGGGACACTTTTTATATACAAAAAAAAAATTGAAAATAACTAACATGTAAGCTTCTATTCAAACATGACTGCTTTTGGGACTCCTTTTGGGACAGAAACAAGTTTTCAAATGGGACTCTTAAAGACAGAGTGAACAATTTTAAATTGTAACCCGACTCACTGATCATAGATTTGAATTTTGATTTTACAGAAAAATAAAGACCTAGAGCAAGTGTGGGGCTGGAAGACAAAACGGGGATAAAATACAGTATTAAAATTAGTCTTCAGGTTAAGTTTGGTTGTTGTGTACCCAATTCGCTTCTAGCAAAAAAAATGTTATAGTATGTAAGTTCTTAGACTGTATCCCTGTCACTCACCCAAAAACAAAAATATTTATAGGGATTATTCACTAGATCAAAAGCTTCATTAACAGAAGCACTATAATAACCGTGGTAAGTAGGTTAAAGTGTTAAACCCCTAATCTGTATTTATTGATTTATTACTTATTTAATGGTTAGCATTTGACAGAAAAGATCTAATAAATGGATCAACAAACAAAGATTGGAAAGAGCTGTGAATACTTATCTCTTCCGTGGCGAAAATGAGTTTCATCCGACCTGCTAATTGATGGAAATCAAAACTTAGATTTTTCTAAATTGGAGCCTTAGCATTGCATAGTATGCATGAGAAACGTAGCACCTTATTTGTGACACTAACAACAAATCATTTAAGCCACCTAGATATAATAAAGCTATAAAGCTATTTATAATCATTCGAAGTCCAAATGGAACATTCAGGTGGACACAAATCATTTAAGCCGCCAAGATATGATAAAGCTATTTATAATCAGTCGAAGTCCAAATGGAACATTTTGGTGGACAATGTGATGCTAAATTGTCAACACATAAAATCTTTTAGAGAAAATAAACTTGAAGATGTACTCTACAAGTTAAATGTATAACTTAACTAAAGCAGTAAAGCATCACTAGATAACCACTGAAGGATCCATTTGGATAGAGGAATTATTATGAGGAGGCTTTGTGTAGCACTAGGATTGTATGTTGATACTTGATACGTATTTGACACCTTCAGTCTAAATAGAATTGAAGGAATAACATACTAGGTGATCAAATAGCATTTCATTCGCCCTTAATTCATATTTAGACACCTTACATTTAACAATATATAGACTAAGCCAGTCAGACCTCCAAAAGCCTCGACACAACTAGGCTCTTAGCATACAGCAGAGAAAAAACACAAAGGCAAAAGATATTGTAATTCAAGATAGTATATTCATTAATAATTGGCCTGCTAGAAAACAAATCTCACAAACAGAAACACAACTGCAAAAACAACAGAGGTAACAGGTAAACTAGTAGAAAGGCTTGCTAGTTGCAGAGGATAAAGATATGAGCTTGGTACTATATGGTGGTCTCAGGAAATGGAGATTTTGAATAAACGTTAAGGAGTGATGTCCTCAGAAACTGGTCCTCCTAAGGAAAAGCATCAAAATAAATCCTCATTCATCTGGTCTTCTGGTTTAGGCTGAAGGGCTTCGTCAAAGGGGGCTGTAGGCATGGGCTTCAGGCTTCAGCTGTTTTGGTAGGGATGGAATGAAAACAAGGGGAAAGAACAGTGTCATCAGTTACATTAGTGGGAGAAGTTTAGGCTGTTAATCAAATCATCATAAATATAAAATTAAGCTTCTACAATGATAATAATTAATTAAACACTTTCGTAGAGAAAATGAAGAAATGCCATATTGCAATTAGTGAATCTATGGTGTACCTGAATAAAAAGTAAGAAACCTTCAGTAACCATAACTTCTTCTCCGGGGTTCATGATTTGATCCAGATAGTCTGATTACATAGTTCATATTGATGAATATTAAAAAAAAGGGTAAATCGTTCGCAAGCACTTGAGCAAAACTAGTAGCAATAGATTCACAGAGTTACATTAATACATTATACATTTGAATAAAAGGTAAGAAACCTAGTATATAGACAATCATATATATGACAGTGTTGTGAATAGCGGCGCAATAGCGCGCAATAGCGGAAAAGCGGAGCGGCAGACCTGTTAGGCGCTACAAGGAGGGGTCTCGCGTAGCGTTTGGGAGTTGCGGTCATAGCGCCCGCTATTGCAGCGGTGCGCAGAAGAGAATAGCGGCCGCTAACGCGGCACTTTTTATGGTGAAGAGTACTGCGCTAAATTTTAGCGTTAAAATTTTTAAGCGCAGACATAAGGGGGTAAATTAGACTTTTAAAACAAAATATTAACCTAGTTAAAACCCTCAGACGTAAGTTAAAGGCTACCAAAAGCTCAAACCGAAGCCAGCTTTTGAAAATAGTCCGCCGCACCTCTGCGATGGCTCTAACGACCATCATCTATTTCTTCTGCTCTAAATTTTTTGGCTGTTAATTTATCAAGGCTTAAACTCTTACACTAGAACCTTAATTTTGACTCAATGTTTTGATTTAAGATGTTTGAATTAGTAATAGCAACTTATGTTTTGCTCATGAAAGTATGAAACTAAAGAGTATTTCTAAGTAATTTAGGTGGGTGAACCATCTAGTTTCAATAGTCTCTTTGCAGACCTTAGATGTACCTTAGTCCTTAGCATAGTTAAAGCATATGCTTCCAGTAAGGCAAAGAGTATTTTTTTATATGTATTTATTACATGTGCTTCTAGAAGTTACTTATCTATTAAATTTGAAAGTAGTCTAAATAGCGGTTATCCCGCTATCCGCTATACCGCTATAGCGTTTTTGGGGCTCGCCGCTACGCTCCGCTATCAGGGATTGACAACACTGATATATGAGATATTTCAATTATGGGAAATCAGGAAATGTGAGGGAATATAAAAATCTGATTCGAACACAATAAGTTTATTCTTGACATTTGTTCAAACTTGCTTAAATCTTGTGGGACTAAAACTTGGATGTTGTTGTTGTATTTGTAATTTGTTCAAACTTAATTTATTTATTTATTTATTTATCCATTTGTATTATAGAAAAACTGAAATCTAAAAATATGTAAAAATAAAAAATAAAACCCTTAGTATTATTTTTATTTTCCTTTTGCACTTTCCGGGGTAAAACTAAACACAGAAAACTAACATTTCTTGGCAGTTATTCCTTTTCCTAGAAATTACTGGGATCCAAACGTGCAGCTAGGTCTTTTACCCCCTCCCCCTCTCCTATTATGTTTCATAATGTCAATAAACATAAAAGGGCAGAAGAACTGCAGTGCCAAGCGGGTTTGGTAATATAGCATACCCAGAACTACCAGAACGACCCACGTGATATCCTTCGTACCCTCCTCCTCCATGCCTGCTGCTACTGCTGCCAGTCTGCATATGAATTAAACAATGGGAAAATGAAAGATGAGATTGGAAAGAAAATACAAAAAAGTGTAATAACCATAGCACTTATACGCAGAGTAAATAATTGTAATCTAAAAAGCTGGTGATGTAAAACTGAAAAAGGAATTACATGAACACCACCATAATTTCGATAACCATCACTATACTGCGGGAGATCACTCAAGCCCCCATAATCCCCAGAATAAGATTGTCCATGTCTTCTAGAATCTCTGCTTTCATACTTATAGCTATTTGAGGCATCTGTTGACATTGGAAGATATGGAACAACAGGCACAAGGGCAGATACAGCACCTTCTCTTCCAAAAAAATTTGCCCTCAACCGTGAAATTACTTGTAAGAGTGCATCCTTTGAAACATCGAGATCTCCAGAGATCTAGACATAGTTGAAAATGTAAAATGCATATCACATAACTCATCAGAAGCAAAAGGGATGAGAAAAGATGAGTACAAAAGAAATGCCAAAATGCATTATACATTAACCAAGGTGAGGACTGCATATTAGTGGAATATATACATGTGTTGTATAAATCTGTGTGTATGTTTATCGAAATGTAAATCTCTAAATTATGCAGTTATAATTTTGATAAGGTAAGCCAAGTCCCTTAAATCTATTTGTCAGATTAGCTAAATTTATCATGTGGAACACTGCAACTTGAGTGTGTCTCATTAGGCAAGGAGTGCCATGTATATTAGTGGAATATACATGTGTGTGCGCATCTATATACATGTGTATGTACGCATATATATTGGATATTATGTGACATATTTGACCAATGTACAATCTTTTAATTTTGGTAAGCTACTACTGTCATAAATCATGAATCATACTTAAGTTCTTTAAACTTATTCGTCGGTTAAGCTAAACTTATCATGCATAACTCACTTGTGTCTCTTTTTTGGCAATTTTTAACAAATTACATGAAATATTAGCTTCGCCTGACCAAACTAGACTCTTCTTTCAGGACAAAAACAATGGTTAAACATAACACTTTATTTGAATATATGGCAAGGATAATTTATAATCAAACTTACCAGAACCATCTCATCATCTTCAGCGGCAACCTTGGGCAGGTGTTCCTTTGAAAGTATACGAATGTTAGCTTTGGTCACTTTCCTCATCTCATTGATTATAGATCCTCCCTTTCCAAGTAGACAGCCTATACGAGAGGTAGGTACAAGCAAACGGGTTGTAAATGAAATAAGACCGGAGTCTCTTTCACTTTTCTCACTACACCTAGGTTGCAACCGTACTGCTGCATCAACTGTGGGAGAGTATGTTTCTTCAAAAAACTGTTAACAACCAATTGCCAATGACATCAGATAAAAGAAGATTTTCTGAAACCAGACTGGCTAAACATCCACAAAGAATACTTTTGATATGTTTGCTTCCATAAAAAGCTAATGAAAGGAGAAAAAACTAAGGGTAAGTTTGGTCCCCGGAAAATGATAGAGAAAAAACTAAGGGTAAGCTATGGAAAATTATTTTATTATGTTTCGCATTATAGTGGAAAAAGCCGTTGCAAATGAAATATGAATACTTTCGAACATATCTTACACATTTAAATCATAAGTGTTTATACAATAAAACAAACTAAATTAAATCAGTTTGAACAAATATCATGTATCAAGTTGGAGAGTATCTTTTATTTTCCTTCTAACTTCATTCCCTGTTTTCCTCTTCACCTTCTTTCCCTAGTATTTTCCAGGTTCATTACTAAGAGGAATTATTTGGTATTTTCCGGGACTCCAGGTTCCTTACTAAGAAGAATTATATATTATGATTGAGTTTAACTTGAAAATAGAATATGATTAGTTTTTAAAAAGTATCATATGTTATGACTTCAAACTCGTTAACTCTTTACATGATAGAAATGAATAAACAACAGGTTTAAATACTTTCCTCTAATTTTTGTTTCTACCCAATATCCTATATATTTTTCTTTAATTTTCCCATTAATTTTCAGGTTCAAAACCAACCGTATGTGGCTATGTGCTTACTTCTTTAGCTGAAATTGTTATAAGACAGTCGTCTCCATCTGCAGCTGAACTGTCAACTTTGATGGCTGCACGCGACTCTTCCCTAATCTGCTTGATTATGATCCCACCCTTTCCAATCACACCTCCTATATTCGCATTGGGACAAATCATACAGAGAGAAAACTCCTTTGCATGTGATTGATCCCTAGGGGTAGCGTAAAGAGCTCGTGACCATTCTCCACCATCACTACTTCTGTAACTGCCATAAGGTCCCACAAGTGGTGCTAAGCCCACTAATGGTGCACCAGCAAGTGAACCGCCACCTGAAGAGTAACCCATTGGAGAAGCTGAAGCTAAAGATTGTTGAGAACGGGATGGATTATCGTGAAGCCGGGATGCTATCTTATGTAGAGCCTTCCTTACAACATGTCCATCACCCGATATCTAAAAACCCGTCAAACAAGAAATTGATCAACAAAGGACCATTATCATGTTCGAATATGGACATGAAAGTAATTAACATCAGTCAAAGATAATTACAAGGCCAAAGTAAGAAAACAGAATGTACTCCCACTGAGCCTCTTTATCTATTCCCATTGACGCGATCACACCAGTGTATTTGGGTAATAAATTAATCAAAACTATTTACACTTATTTTGGTGATGCCTAAATAAAAAATATTTACACTTCGCCTACAATGCTTTACTACCGCTGTTATCTCTCAACTATTGCTTTAGGGAATAAAAACGGGTTGTCCTCAACTAACTGGCGGTATGCAGCTTTAGGATATCAAAGGAACAGTATTTTCCAACACTACCATTTTCGATTTAAAAATGTTGCATAATACTTTCATAAACTACTTTTAAATTATAATAGATGTATTCTAGTCAAGCTTTCTAATTTTACTTGGATTCAAAATGCTTCATTGTTTTCTTAGCATGTGTGCAAATACCTAAAATGACACTTGAAGAAGAAAGGAGAGGGTCTTACTAACTTTTTTAGGGGCAAATGGAGAAATTAGCAACCCAAATTACAAAACCACATAGAAAAGGGAAAATAAATTGAGATCACAACATTACCTGCACAAGTTCATCAGAGCTCAGTGCACATGCAGGCAGATGATTATCCTTCATGATTCGAATCTGTGCACCAGTTTCACTACGAATATCTTGAACAATCTGTCCACCTTTCCCGATAATACATCCAATCTGATCAGAGGGTACAAGCAGCCTAGCAGTCACACGTGGTGCATCATCGGACTCATTATCAACCAGCATGTCATCACCAACAATTCTGTCATGGACTTTGAAGAGAGCATCCTGTGCAGGACACACCTGAAGATCTTCAGTTCCTTCAAAATCATTCGTTTCTTCACTGGCACTGTAGATTGTGATAACACGTTCATCACAATCACGAACAGTCTCACCTATCCTTATCTTTGACTTCGTGTCTGCTCTTAATTGTTTGACTATCTCTCCACCCCTTCCAATTATACTTCCAATGCTTTTTCCAGGACACAGGTAGCGAAATACAGTGTCTGTAGGGTCAATTGAAAAATGTTCCCTACCACCACCACCTCCAGAATTCCTTCTTTTGTTTGTGCCATTTTCTGAATGTCCAGATTGAGAATGAGAACGTTTCCCATGGCCACTCCTTTGACCACCCATACTGGAACAACAAAATCTAGCTAGTCAACAACTAACCAATCTAGAGCCTATAGTCATCAAATCTGACTAGAGTCACCAATCGATACATATCAGCAACAATTCGCCTAACTTAGTACTGAGGTGCTAAGAATCCCAAATTTCATTATCATAAATAAATATAATAGTTCTGAGAGTATTAATCGAAACCTAGAACAAAAAAGAAAGAAATTTACCTCTGATGCAGGTAAACTCGGATCTGATGGGGCTTTTGGAGAACGCACAAATCTTGAAAAAGGTACGATTGTGGTGAGAGAGTTGGAGAATCGAGTTCTTGGGATTTTTTTAGGTTGGTTTTGGTTTGCCGGGTTTGGGCCGAACTGACATTGTAATAAACTAGTAGGCTTTAGAGCCCGTTTGGAAACTTGTAAAGTTATGTTTGAAATTTGTAAAGTTATGTTTGAAATGGCTGCATTTTGGTTCATTCTGTTTAATTAAGAAAAAAATATTTCTGAAATATATTTTATTAATAAAATAAAGAAAAAACTATATGTGAAAATAGTTAAAATGATCATCTACAATAACTTCAGCCAATATAGTCAGAAAAGTAGTTTCAATTTTGCTTGTTCTTATTATTAGACAATTCTGCGCGTAAAATAAAAGTTACGTGTTTAGTGAAAAAGTTGGCTAATAAGTGCCGAAAAACAGTGTTACCAAATGGTCTCTTAAGTTAAGAGATTTTTTGTTTTAAATTTTTTCAATTTCACCATATATGATATGATATCAAATTTATGGAGACTTGACATCATAACCATAAATAAATGAGCGCAACATCTTAAATTTTACATTATATAAGGTTTTACTTTGATTGTTTTTTATTTATTAACACGTTAATAATTCTTTAAAATAATTCTTTAAATTTATACTTGATTGTTTTTTAAAATCTTAAAATAAAGTTGCGCTCATTTATATAATTCTTGCGCTCATTTAAGAATTGTTAATAAATCTTAACACGCTATTTAACACGTTGAATAACATAAATCTTAACACGTTAAATTATTGTTAATAATTCTTTAAAATAATTCTTGAATAAAATCTTATTCAACTTTTAAAGTATAAATTCTTTAAAAGAATTTTAAGATTTTGAAATTTAATTCTTTAAATAATCAAAGTAAAACCTTTATGAAAAGTTGCAGATTTATACTTTAAAAACTTAAATTTATTTTATTTAAAATTTTCAAAATCTGCTTCTTTTTGCTCATAGAGAATTACACTTGAAAAGTTGGTTGTTGCCGTTACTAATGGAGATTTATACTTGAGATTAAAAGATTTTAAATTAGGATTCCTTCACCAAATTGAGAATTCCATTCTTCATTGGCTGTTCTTTTCAATATTTTTCGATGAAATATAAATTATGTTAACACCCAAGAAAATAACAAATACATGTGTCCAAAATCTAATCTAATCCCCCCCCCCCCAAGAGGGTGAAGGAGGAGAAAGAGTTTTGCCATCAAATCCATGTCACGACCCGTGCAATGGTGCCCAAAATCAAAACTACGCCACTAATGCTGCAAGGTGCACGCACGCAATGTTCCAAGAAATCTATAAGATAGCTCATGGCATACAATACAAGAAAGTGCTTTGATTCCACTTGAGTTGGACGTCAATCATCTCGTGTGGGTAGATACTAAAGAGTATCTTATACACCACATGTTTAATCTTTTCCACAATTTCATCTTGCGTTTTGTTGATCTCGTCAAATCTATTAGAGTTTATTGTGTGCCAGATCCAATAGATCGTAGCACACAAGACTAGACAGACTGCATTTGCCTTCATTGTTGCTCCTTTGTGTTTCTTCAAGATCCATTTGATCGCACTAGGGAGGTCATCATTTGGTGCTCCAATCCAATCCAACTCCTTATGTTCATTTGTACCCTAGCCACAAATGGACAAATGAAAATTAGGTGTGGGGTATATTTCAATCCACCCTTACAAAATCACATATGCTCTCAATATGCAAATAACCGAGGTTATGAGGTAACTGGTTTTGAAATGCTAACCAAACATTAAATGATAATTTAGGGGGGATATAGGACTTCCAAATGAAACTCATGCATGTCCTAAGAACCCCATTGGTTCTCAATAAATCATACACCTTAGAAGATAGTAGTTTCTCATTGATGCATCTACTATTTAACCACGTTATGGTTTCATTGAGGTTATTAAAACGTCCACGAAATTTAGTTCGGATGAGACTTAGCTTCTTCATCAACGATGGGCCCCGATTGTGTGGGGTGAAATCCCACACACTTCTTCCTCTAAGATATACACCATTCACCCACCTTAATCACATGGTGTCTTTCTTTTGGTGTACATCCCAAAGAGAGTGAGTGAGAAAAGTTTCATTCCATACCTTTACATTATGAATACCAAGTCATCCCTCTTCTTTTGGTAAGCAAATATCATCTTATGCCACCTTTGAATATTTGTCACACCATTAAAAAATCCTACATATTGAAACAATCTTATTCAAAATGGTTTGAAGGAACCGGGAAGACTTGTAACAAAAATGATTGGATTCCTTGAATCACCGAGCTTGTTAGTTCAAGTTTCCCGGCATAGTATATAAATTTGTATTCCATGCATTCAGGGCATCAGAAACCATGCTAAGTAAAGGTGCATATTGAGCAATTGATACCTTTAAACGGGAAAGTGGTATTCCTATGTACTTCATCGGGAAAATACCCTGCCCGTAGTCAACAAGATCAAGACTATTGTGCAATTCATATTCTGCCACACCTCCCAAAAAAATGTTCGATTTTTCATGATTCACTCCAAGGCCCGATGCAACACCAAAGTCCTCGAGAGCATTCACCAGCATCTCAATAAAATAGATGTCTCCTCTCGAAAAGAGAACTAGGTCATTCGCATATGCCAAATAGGTAATACCAAGAGATGCACATTGATGGTGGAAATTGAAATTTGGCCCATTAGTTCGAATTTTAATAAGACGTGAAAAATACTCAAGACAAAGTACAAAAAGAAGGGGTGACATGGGGTCACCTTGTATTATGCCTCTCTTACCTTTGAAAATTTCATACCACAATCCATTTAGAGATATAAAAAATGATGCACTTGAAACACATGCCATAATCCATTCAATAAATCTGAAAGGAAAACTCAATCTCTTTAGAATGCCTCTAACAAATTCTTGTGCTATGAAAATGCTATCAAACATTATGTGGCCATCCACAAAGGCACCTTGTGTGTGATCCACCAGTTTTTGGAGACATAGTGCAATGTAGTAGCTAGGATTTTTGTGATCACCTTATACAACACATTAGTACAAGATATGGGTCTATAATTCGAGACCTTTGTGAAGTAGCTAATCTTTGGGATGAGAGCAATCACCGTGTGAAAAATTCGCTTAAGCAATTTACTCGTGGAAAAGAACTCTTTTACGGTCTTGATCATTTCATCCCCGACAGATAATTCAATTTGATTTTAAAAAAGTTGAAGAGTACTCATCCGGCTCGGGGGCCTTAGCGTTACTAATACGAAAAAGGGTCATCTTGATTTCTATATATATTGGTTACAATGAGGCCATTTTGGATATTAAAGTCAATTAATGGTCAGGTATTCATTACAGTCTCATCAAAGTTAACACTATCAACATGAGTTCCAAATAAATTAGTGGAAAAACTCGCAAACTCATGCCCAACTTGATCTAGCGAGGTGTTAAGGGTTCCATCATCCAAAGTAATTGATGTTATGGCATTCCTAGTTGCATTCCTCTTCATTATAGCATGGAAGTATTTGGATTCCCTTTCCACCTCCAAAATATGCGTAATTTTAGCCAGTTTGTTGAAAAAATTATGTCTCAGCCTCACCTAAGAAAATGGCTTTTTTCTTGATTTCATCAAGATCTATTTTAATATACTACAACAAAACGGGCCTTTCGCAACACTCATAAAATGTTACATAACATAGTTAAAGTGTTACAATAGGCTAAAGCAACACTTTTATGAGCGTTGCTTCAGGTCTCGTTGCATAAAGTCTTATGTAACACTTTATATCATGTTATGCAACAGTAAATAATATTGTTGCATAAGTAACCCAAATGCAACACTATTTCGTAACGTCTTAAATATCATCTTATGCAACACTTTTCGAAATAAAATGCAACACTTATTACATGGATTTAGGCAACATTTTTCTTATATATATGTAACATATTTATTACATTCTTTTGTAACAATAATTTACATTATGCAACAGATTTTTTTAATACTTTATGCAACGATCTTCTAGATATCGACAACATTTATATTTGTTATTCATATTTATGCAACACATATATTATGTGATTTATGTCCCACTGCACCATCGTATTTATCCATCAAAATAATTACACTTTGTAATGAGGAAATATCCAAAACATGAGATGTCTGAAAGGAAAAGATAAATGATAGAGTACATAGTACTTTACAATCATCATCATCGTGAGAATACATTCTAAAATTATAAAGTTGCACAAGGTATCACAACTATTTTGCATTTGAATTAGTTCAACGTTCCTTTTCTTGGTGTCCTCTTCAGTCTCATTCGATAGGCCGATAGGGAGTCACGATATAAATTTGTCCAAACTCTTTCTCGTTAAAATCGCCATCTTTATCCTGTGACAAAAGTCATAAGAGTATCCATCAATAATGGATTCGCTTTTGTCCATGTATCTCGCTTCATAATTATTTTATGAACTTTCAAAAACTAACTAATACAGATATAACACTTGGAGAAACATAGGGTTAATCATGACAACCCACTAGAATATACAGAATACTTGTTGCAACTTTAAAATTGTTCAAATCTTGCATCATGTATACCATAGGGGAGTTGGGCCCCGTCCTTTCATTTGGAGCACACATACAATTAAAGTCCCCCAATACTAGCCATGGGTCATCAATTTGGTTTCCCAACGAGATTTTCTCTCCAAGATCATATACAAAGGGTAAACAAAAGTCACATAAAAGGTAAGTTGGGATGTGAGACCTACATATTTGATATGCATATGTCAAATACTTTCAAAGTTGGTATTCCACTCTCAATTACCACACAATTTACAGAATTCGGATTCCACATGATGACCATTCGGCCGCCAATAATCCTTTCAAAGTTGGTGGCACTTTGCCATCCACGCCAATTATTATTAACATAGTTATTAAAAGCATCTTTAGGCATCGTAGTCTCCAAAAAACACAAATTAGTATATTTATATTAATAAAACTAGAAATTAAATTGTGTTTGGAGGTCTTATTCAAACCTCTCACGTTCCATGTCATTAGCTTAATCAGGAAGAGGATTCATTGCTCGAGGA